AAAGGGAAAGAAACGTGACCCTACAGCCCTCACGCAGCTCCAAATACCACCATCACAGGCAGCCTAGTGAAGCACTTGCTTATGCTTGAAATAAATCTGCTCTGGACTGGCTTCTGCACTGGAGTCTTCGTACCTGCTTGTTCCTCCGTTCCACACACAGGACATTAACAAAGCAGTGTGTGGAGGTACCTATAGCCCAGCTGCTCCCACTTGCCAGTACCAGTTCCTTGAGCACACCCTATTACTATCCGACTTTGTATATATTCACATACGTTTACAAACATACATATATGCAAACTTTATGCTTTGTTTGCATCCATGCACAAATACTACAGCCAAGACCTGCAGTTCTTGTGCCTTTTCATACTGTTGAGCAAAACCTGACCAATTGTCAGCTTTCAATTACACATGGCTAAGTTTCAGAGACTTATTTTTAAAGAACTGAAAAATGTTTAGAAGTAAGTTTGGTCAACGTCATCACTGCACATGGTACAGGCAAACTTGCTTAAGTGGTACTCCTCAACTGTGTTGTGATGGAATGTCCAATGGCAGATTTCTTTAAATAAAAAATCTGGACAATTGAGAGGTATGCAGAAAATTTGTCTTAAATACTTGAAGCTACATGTGCAATCTTACAGAACACAAGCTACAGTTACAGACATAACAGTAAATCTTATTAACCAATAGTGAATAAGAACTTAAAAACAGTCAATGAAATCAGTTCAGCCAGTGATTTCCAAAAAAGTTGTGCCTCAGCTGCTTTGAGGGGGGAAAAGGAAAAAAAAGGGGGAGGGGGGAAACTCAGGCTTAACACAAAGTTTTAATCTACATTTTAAAAGCTGTTTTATTAGATATTGATATATATATATATATATATGCTACGTATAAAATAACTTTAAAAGGGAAGGAGAAAATAGCTTTGTATATGCTTCAAATTAATACAGACGAGTAGTTCCATAAATGAACATTTTACCATATTTGTGGAAAAAAGCTGACATAAAAGTTCAAAACCATACAATATTATAAATAGAGTTCAAAAGATACTTTAAAAAAAAAAAAAAGGAATTTCAACGTAATTTTCTCTTCCCCTACAATACACTTCAGTTTTGTATGTCAGTATCAATAAATTTACAGATTATTTGAATGTCACATCCACAGAATTGGTAACAAAGCAGGTAAAAGAGCTAGTGGTGTTAAAATTTAGGACTTTTCTCCCAAAGAGCTCTACCTGCTCCCCAGCCTTCTCCTGAAATGAAGGCTATCAGCATTCATCACCTAGTCTGAGGTATGGGCAGAAGAAAATCTGCAGCTGGTACTCTCCAACCCAACTTGCTTCTGCTAAAATAATAGCAACAATCTATTGATACGGTAATTGGCAATGGTGGTGGACAATCTCTTACCTCCATTCAGCTTGTATATAATTTAATCCTGGTATTAAAAAACCTGAAACATAGTATTAATGCTTAACTTAAAAAACAAAACAAAAATAACTCCACCAACAAAGAAAAGCCCCACTAAAACACCCCAACTTAAAATATTTGAAATTATGTTTAAATTTTGTTCCTGGTTTAAAGCTTCACATAAAACATTGGACAGATGACAATTTTAAACCAAGAGAGCACCTAAAAACATACCATAGGTAAAAATGAAATCAATCATCTCTCCACTTCATAAAAACATAGAAACCCTGTCAGCAACAGTAGTACACTCAGAACGAACAACGTCAAAAGGAGCATCTAGAATACTCAAGAAGCTTGCTACGCTACTTCTCTTTATTGCCCATTCTCTCATTTGTATGGATGGCCACTGCATGACAGGATGCCTGTGGATAGTTCTTTTATCTTCCTTTCACCACTGCTGCCAGCTGAAGTCGTCATTGCTGCCAAAGACCAAGAAAAATCCTAGGATCGTGGCAAAGATGACTGTATTCCCAGTAAGAACAAGTGCACATGCACCCCAGTAAATCTGTGAACAGGGGGAATTCAGTTAGACGCGTTTGGAGCTGAACAAGACAAAAGCTAACATCTTATTGTCACATTCTCAACAAAGTTTAGTAACACGTCCATGATGCAAGAGGCAATTATCTCATTATCTGTGGTTCCACCAAGCAGGCTAGGTTTACCCAAAATTACTTGACAAATTCACAGCCAGCCAAGCTGCACTGCGAGTTTCTTCTAGCTGTACTCAAAGCATTGGCTAGCAGGCACAACTGGTTTGGTATGTAAAGTAAGGCTTGGTAACAGCATCAAAAACATCTGCAGCCTAGCTATGCTGTAAGACTTTTTAAAACAGATATTTAAGGTCTTCAAAACGCCAGCAGGTATCCCAGTAACAAAAAAGGAGGTGGATGTTTTCACAGAAGACTTAAGTGGATTACTCAAAAGGTATGAGGCATTCAAACTGCCCATCTGAGCTGTTCTTGCCTAAAGACATTTATGAAAGTGTACTCCATGTTTTTTGACTTGGTAGTGCTTTCTGTCATTCACACAAAGTGTACTTTTAAAGTATTTTAGTGAAAAGCTGTGCACTGGGAAATATTTAATGAGAACTTGGAAGTTTAAGAAAATGACACCAATATAATTTAATTTAGTTTACAGTGAGTACAAAAATTTTTTTTTCTTTTTTATTCATGCTGCTTTAGCCCAACTATTCCACAAATTGTCTTTGAAGTATTCTTTACACTTCTATATTTAGTTACTTCCCTGTTAAGTTTTCACATTGTTTTCTGTCTCATTTTCCCTGCATTGCATTGTTAGGCTTTATTCTGTGACCACATGAAGCAACTGGCAATCACAATGTTTTGCCATGTATTGATTTTTCTTGCCCAAAAAAAAAATCTTATTCTGGTTCCAAAAGTATGTAATTATAAGACTTATATAGTGCATGAAAGATTTACCTTTAATAGACAAACAAACAAGCACAAAAACCAAAATTTTCTAGAAAAAAAAAGACAATCAAGTTTAAATATTACTAACCAGTTCTGCTCTTGCAAACACTATGGGCAGCCCAAATGCTGAGACCACTATGCCTGTTGTAAGGAATATTGCCAGCTCCTTGCAGGCATTACTTGTTGCATCCGTGTCATCCACCAATCTTCTTGCTATGCAGTACGGGATAGGAGAAAGGATGTAAAAAAACAGAACAAACAGTGGCCAGTATTGGCTGAAAAAGAAAGGAGAAGAAAAGTTTTAGTTAACTGGATTTACTTCCTGCTCCTCCTAAAAATCAATGCAAGGCATTCTCCCTATCCAACATCCCCATTTAGGAAAGACAGACAAGCCCACAGAAGGCAAATCCTTTATCTTGGAATGAGCTGACATTAATCCAACAGACCATGTGTGTGAATGGCTTCGATGGCAGGAAAGCTGACTAACAGGATTCATAAAGCAAGATTTCACTAGGCAAGCCTAAATCTAATGCCACCTCACAAGGTGAGCTTAACTCCAAGTTTATCCTGTCAGCTGTACTTAAGAGATACCCTTACAGCGTCCCAGACTAGATTTCTCAAGCACACAAACACAGGTGCACATTGTTCCAATAAAACTTTACTGCATTGTTTGAAGGGCAACTGCATAAGGATCTCCTTCACAAGGGCTTGTGTCACTAGTACTGGTTTATAACAAAAGCAAGCTGGCCTAGGAATTCTAGTCATATATGCAGAAACTGCAATTCACAACTAGTAACAGCTCTATCAACAGGATATTTGGTATTTATTCAACAGTGAATAGGTAAATTTAAAATATTTTCCATAAAGTCAGCATTCACTTGCAAAGAGTCAAAGCCATAGGCCTTACTAGCTGAACACTTGGTCGGCTACTTTGTATCTCCTGAAAACCAAGAGATAGGAATGTCGATGTAAAGAAAGCACAGAGAGCAGCTGCAATTAGTCGAAATGCTACATTACAAGTGAGGGACACAACTAAGGATCCACCTGATTGCCACCGACAACCCAGCTACCCCTAGGCAGCCATAGGAAATGCAAATGCTTCCCTGGATAACACACACCTGCTGCCCACCTTGGGAGATGCTGCTATCTGATGGTCAGTCACAACAGGACACCAGTTCAGAGAGGCAGGGCAATGCATCCTTTTACAGTTTGCAGCCAGGCCTAGTAATTTAACTTTTGCTGCCATTAGTTTTTAGGAATAATTAAATTCTGGATGGTCTTTTTTTTTTTTTTTCCTTACTCCAATCTTTTGAAGCAAAAGCCAAATAAGCCCAACCAACCAAAAAAAAAAAAAACCCAAATAATCCCACCCAAAAAATCTGAGGCACCTCCTACACAGAGAGGATGTATCAATCTACCATTATGGAAGCCGGACTCCTCTGAAGTTACAGACACACATAAAAGAAATGGAGGAATAGAAAGAGAGCGCACGATACTTGTATTGGGGCAGGGCACATCCGAGCATCAAGAACATCAGTCCGACCGCTCCCCCAAAGGACAAGCTGATCAGGGCTACAACGAGAACAAATCAAAACAATACGAAAGGTGCAACGCACCGCGAAAAAAAACCCACCGACCGCCGCCTGCAAACGAACGCAGGGCTCAGTGCAGCCCCGACCGCCCGGCGGAACGGGGGCACTAGGGGTCCTGGGGCGGCTCTCAGCCCCTCCCACCCGAGAACCGAACCCAACCCAACCCGTCCCGTCCCGTCCCGTCCCGTCCCGTCCCGTCCCGTCCCGTCCCGTCCCTCCCCACGCGGACCGCGCAGGCCCGCCGTTACCTACCGGCCGCCCCGCCCTGCCCTGCCCCGCCCCGCGCGCACCTTTGATTCCCGCCATGGCACCGCCCGTCCCGCCAGCCGCGCGGCACCGGAACGGTGCGCGCCGGAAACCGGAATTGCCACGCGGAAGCGGAAGCCGCTTCCAGCAAGGGGGAGGGCTATACACCAGCCCACCTGGGCCGGCCCCGCGACGCTCATACGTGGCGCGCGGACAGGCCCCACAGCGGCAGCCCCGCTCCCCGCCACCCATTGGCCACACGGCACGTTGGGGGCGGGGCTTCTTTCGGCGCCTCGCGTGTTCCGGCGTGGGCCCTGCTCCCGAGGCCGAGGGTCACGGTTCTCGGTGCTGCCATGGCGCAGCTCGCTCTACTCCTCCCCCTTCTGCTCTGCGCCGCCGCGGGACCCGCACTGGGCTGGGACCGACCAGGTGAGACCCGCGGGGATAAAGGGGGCTCAGCGCGGCCTCAGCCGCCCTCGCCTCCTTTCCCGGCGCATTAGCGGCTCCTCGCGGCCCAGCATTGCGTAGTCCTGTCGGTTTAGCGGCAGCCGGCACGGGGGAAGAAGGGCTTGTGGCGGGAAATGATGCTAGGAAAGCATCGCTCTAACGTGCTTGTGTCGCAGCAGTGATCCCGCAGTGCCCTCAGTTGTGGCTGTCTGCCTACGAGGAGTAGCCCAGAGACGCTTCGCAAGGAAATGAGGAACTCTGCCGTGTTTCCCTCTGGGCGTCTGATGCTTCCTAGAGTTTCGTCTTGTAAAGATGCAGACGTACTGCTTCGGCGTCTTGTAGCCAAGAGGAGTGCACCCGAACAAGCGCTGACAAGCAGAGGAAGAATTTTTTTACAGGAAGGGTGATCAAATAGTGGAATGGGCCGCCCAGGATGGTGATGGAGTTACCGTCCTTGGAGGTGTTTAGGGAAAAACTGGACGTGGCACTCAGTGCCGTGGTCTGGTTGACATGATAGAGTTCTTTTATCGAGGTTGGACTCGGTGATCGCAGAGGTCTTTCTTAGCCTAATGGATTCTGTGATTCTTTGTGCTGCCTGTTTCAGGGAAGGTTCTGCTGCGGGATGTTCAGGCGCTCACTCTCCACAGAAGGCAATACACAACATCCAGGCGGACAGCTGCGGTCCCTCAGCTGCAGTGCACAGGAGGCTCTGCAGGGTGTTCCCGTGTCCCTGAGGTGGTTCAGTGTTACAACAAAGGATGGGATGGCTATGATATACAGGTAACTGTTTAAAACTTGTTAAACTGCTTATGAAATCACTTTTCCCCAAGCTGGTAAGTTCTGAAGGAGCAAAGAGTAGCGAGCTGCGTTGTTGGTTCAGGTGCTTTTTGTTAAGATGAACTCTTGCAGCTAAAACTTAACCTAAATACCTTTAGGGTTGGATTTTCCAGAACTATTGTAGGTATGTGTTTGAAATATCTTTGAAGAAGCAAATGTAAAAGCACGGCATAACAAACCTTTGCTGGTTTCAAACAAAACAGCACTTGAGTTTATAAAATCAAACACTTGCAAACCCCAGAGGATGCTTTTGAATTATTACTGCTGTGTGAATTGCTATTTTTTATTAGCATGGAAAGGGCTTCTAAATATTTTCTTCGCTTCAGCTCTTTTAAAAACTAAATTTCAGACTTGCCTGACTTTCTCTTCCACCTTAGGATGTGAGTGCTAGTCAGTAAATAATCTTGACTTACAGCTGTTACTGAGGCCTTTGTCAATAGATAACCAGGAACCAAGGCTGAAAGTAATTGCTAAAACTGATCAAGTATTGTGAAGGAATGGTCAAATATTAATTGGCAGTTGGTACTGCTGTACTGAATTACTAATTTAGAAACAACAACTTAATTATTTCCTCTCCAAAATACATGTAACGTGCCATTAGAGATCCCTATGTTTAGATACCTCAAGGGGATGTGATCCTGAGGATCCACCTATGTTCAACCAGAGAATCCCCAATGTAATTGTTAAGTGTTGCATATGGATGCCTAATGATGTCTGTCCCAGTTTCTTTTGATTTCTTCACAGACACAAGTGGACACAATGGTGCAATTGGATTTCAGTCCCACATGTTATGTTTTTGTAGGTGCTGTCGAGTTTGCACAGGACAGGCATTTATCAAGTAGCTGTTGTACAGGGTACAGCACATTTTTAAAAGTATTGTTATATATCAAGAACGAAAATCTTCCAGAGTTGTAATTCTACAGTGTTCTGAAAGATAAGATCTTTTTTAAGTTTTAGGATTTAAAATTCCTTTAAACATCAAATTCCTACTCCTTTTCAAAATAGGAGGTCACAGAAATTTCTTACTTATAGCCTATAGATGATTTGTTAGCAATTACATCTTTATTTCAGGGGATATGTAGGGTAGCAGATGGGTTTTTTTATCTTTGGGGCAGTATGTTTTACTTTGTATTGTGTTTATTTTTTCAGTGGCAGTGCAGAGCAGACTTGGAAAATGCCTACCGTTTTGGGCAAATGGAAGTGAGCTGTGAAGGTTACGATTACCCAGATGATCCTTACATACTACGAGGCTCCTGTAGTTTGCTGTTCAGTCTAGAGCTGACTGGAGAAGGTGAAAGGAAAGTGAAGAACTCTGGAAGCTTTGGGTCTAGCTATTACCAGTCGAGGAAAGATTATTCTGATTCTGGTTCTGGAGCAATTGTTGTAATTGTTCTTCTCGTTCTTGCTTTTGGAGTATACAAGTTATTCCTCAGCGACCAACAGTCTCAGCAGAGTTCTGGGCACAGTGATGGCTTCTCTCAGCCCTTCTGGCGGAGTCAGCAGGCGCCTCCTCCTCCTGGTTTTAAGTCCACCTTCACAGGTAGGGCTCAGCCATTTACAGTATTCAAAAGACCAAGCAGGATTGTCCTATTTCATCTGTGGTAAGGGAAGGTGGGATATAGTTAAAACCACAGAATTTGCATGCAACTGCCAAATTGGATCAGAGCCTACAGCCAGCTTTGCATTCTGCTCTGTTCAAAAGAGGAAATAAGGGCTTGGTTTTCCACAGGCTTTCAGGGCAGGCTGCCCTTTGAACCTTTGATAAGCCACCTCCCTATGTTCTGCAAGCATTCTTTCATCACCTGTGAAACAGCAGGATTGTGATGAGGAGAATAATTGTCGTAGGTAGTCTGGAAAAGAGAATGTTCTTACGCAGCCGGTAACAAACCCGTGCCAAAGGAGCAGTCTGAAACTTTACAGAACAGCCTTTCAGGCCTGATTTCACTGACAAAGCAGTTGATGGAGTTGAGTATCATGTACTAGTCCTCTGTTTAACAGGGTTTCAGTGTAGTCCCAGCAGCTGAAAGATTTAGTTCGCAGAGCAGAGAACAGTGTCTGTGAAGTGTCTGAATCTCATGTGGGGCCTTTCATCTGAAGTTGAAAATTACAAAAGCAGTGACAAGGCTTCTGCTGGGAAAAGAGGCAGTTTTTCTTTTCCCAGAAAACTGGTGACTTCTGTCACATAAATAAATGGTCTTCCTTAGGCCCCATAGTGTCTCAGGGAAATAAACATTACTCATTTAACCCTGTAAACATGCAAGCTGTTCACAGCACTGGAACTGGAACTTAAATTACATTCCCACAAGTTACATATTTTTTTATAGAGAAGGGGTTTTGGCGAGAAAATACATAGCAAGGATTAGGTTTACTTAGTTGAAAGTTTTTATTTTAATAATGCTTATTAATGCTTATTAATGCTTTCTCCAAGTTTTGTTCAAAACTTGGCCAGCAGAGGGTGCAGTGTAATTCTTTTGGATACCCTTATGCACGGTGTACACAGCAGAAACTTTCAGCTCTATTTGCACCAGAAAATTAAAGGGAATCTACTTTTGTTGGCTTTGCAAATAGGTTTGCATGTAGTTATGTCAGACTGTCTGTCTGTGCTGTGTGGGTATCAGTGGCCATGTGTGGGGCATGGCACTGGCTGTACTGTGGTGGTCAGCAAGAGCCCTGGCCATGACACACAGCTCTGTCACATTGGGCACAGGTGAAACAATGAAAGGTTATTTTAATTTTTTTCTGTTCAGTTCCTGTCAATTAATTGCCCCACTGCATTTTCTTTGCAAGAGTCTCAAATCTAGCAAGGGCAGGGCTTTAAGAATGTTTTCTTGAGGATTGCTGAAAACTGAGACACTTAAAATACACATTGGGAGCCATATAATGCTTAACTTGTGATGTGTTTAATAAGACATGTCAATGATTTGTCTTTAGATTTCAGGCAAAGTAAGGAGGAAGATTGAAATGTGGAGATTGAAAATACTAAATGTTAGGCTGCTTCATGCATCTAGTGTCTGCCTTACATTGTGGGAGCACAACAAGAGCACATCTCTGAGTGTGTATGTTCATGTGTTCCAGAAATGTATTAGTCTTTGGAAACTGGACGGTAATGAAAAGCAATGTTATTCACATATTGCTGTTAATATTTAATTTGCCTCATTTTAAATCCCTTAACATGCAGATTGTGTCCTGTGAAATTTGTTTAGCTAGACTATCTTAGTTTTTCTCTCGTTTAGTTGTTTGACATGATTCTTAATGTTTACTCTAGATAGTTCAACAAAAATTACTCAGTTTTCTGAGTCAGTGTTTACTCATGGTGCTTTTGAACAAATGAGTTAGTTCATCTCTGATTAACATTGTTATTGCAGCAAATTAAGTAATTTTTTGTTGTTATTCCAAATCACCATAATTTAATGGTCTATCATCCCAATGAGACATTATATTTCTCCCCACACATTCAAAATGAAATTCAACATCAAATCCAGTCTAGACTGAAACTGATTATTTCGTTTTTGTTTTATCTTCTGTGGCTTCAAACAAACGATATCAATTTGAAGAAAAACCAGGCCCTCTAATTTTTACCTTTGTCATCTTGTTACGGTGGGCATGTTTCAGGGAGAGCCTAATGTTATCTTCAGTCCTTTTTATACTTCGTTATGTGTTAAGACTGTGGTTAAGCTTATTCTTGCATCCATGATTTTTGCTAGACCAGAAAATTATTCTACTTTGGGTTTGTATTTTCTTTTTTTCTTTCTAAATGGAAGACATTAATTCTGACTCAGAACCTCATGTTATGCAGGTCACATGTCAAAAAATTTGTGACTCTCCTTTCCCCACAATCTACTTGATATGCTTGCAGTTTCATCAAGGTATTTGTCAAGCTTGGTGACTCATGCATAATGAAAGCTTTGCAATGTGATTGCATTTAGCTTGGCTTTTGATAACAAGTGCCAGACTAGGATTACCAGGAAACAATACCAGTAATGTTAGCGTTACACTGAGCCACTGTGACTCAAACTGTGCAGCTGTGCTCAATGAGATTAGGAGCTCTGTGTCTTTGTGGTTTGATCCCTATGCAGTGTTACCTACTTGATTTGTGTTCCTGCATCTGCTTCTGGCCTGCTCACTGACCTTCAGCAGATCATTCTTTCTACATTTCCTTTTCTATTTTTAATCTAACTTGTCTGTTTATAGATCAGCAGGCAGGGACTCTTTGCATGTTTTGCAAACATCAGGGTTGTGAGATGAAGTGGATGCAGATTTTTAACATAAAACTCTTTATAGTAATGTTAATTTACGTGGGGTTTCCTGCTTTCTGAAATGTGAGGCCTTTCAAGTTAAGCTTGATCAAAAATCTGCTGAAATCAGGAGTAGTTTGTTGTCTAATTTTCCATTATCTTTAACAGGAGAGAATCTTATTGCAGCAGCCGGCCTGAGGATTAATCTGTTACTAATTTATGCTTCTTATTTTAATTTTGTTTAAGATGACAACAGCTTTGGAACTCATTCCCATCATGGAACCAGTTCAGGACCAGGATTTTGGACTGGATTAGGAGCAGGAGGCTTGCTAGGCTACTTGGCAGGCAGTCACAGGTAAAATATGCATACTATCAGATTTTAAGCATTTAAGCTTTCAGGGGGTATGCTATATGCTATATTGACATTGTTTCTAAGATTTCAGGCCTGTGTCATTCAAGTTATAACATCCTACCCCTGGAAGAATTTTCATTAGCTATTTTTAGCTCCATGACCAGAGACATTTCAAACATGTTTCTGAAGCAGAATTGGAAAGACTGAGGTACTTCATTCTACTTTTTCTGACCTGGCATGATGACCTGCAAATTTAAATAGAGCATTTAAACAATTTATCTGCAGAATGCCTTCAAAACACACATAGTCATATCAACCATATAATGATACTGATACAAGAAATCTGTATATAGATTATATTTCCTAAAATATAATACGGAATGCCGTATTTGGTATAGACTTTTGAACATTTAGAATGCATCATATTTAGATTAACAGTTTGAAGAGACCAGTTTCTGCCATTTTAGACTTCTCTGGAGAAAAGATGAGATTCCTGCAGGGAATCTTCAGAGCCTAAGCAGTTTTGTCAATTTATCAAATAACTTGCCTATGTATCAGATCTATTCCTGTAGAAATGTAACAGATTAAAGAGTAAGGTATATAAACAAGAGTGGGCTAAGCATCTGCATTGGAAAGTTGTGGGTTATTTTTAATAACAGAAAATGTATTAATTGTATTAATTCTGCTAAGAATTTTTCTGAGGTGTAATGTGTTAACGTTTTTATTGACCTTGTATTTCTTAAGGCTTAAATACGTGACTCTTGTGTTGAGGCATTATATTTATGTAGTATCTACATACAGGTTCGTTTCCTGATTTCTATACACACCTCCATTTCAGTAGCCACAAATTATTGTTCAAGATTATAGATCTGAGTAAGTCCAAATACATAAGCAAGCTTCCTAACTTGGGCTTCTTTTTGTTTAAAACAGTCTTTGGTCCACTATTATTTAATTTCGTTTCTTAGGCTTTTGAAATTATGTGCTTCAAAATGCTGGTGCCAGGAAGTATGAGAGAGCTGTTTGTAAATTTCAACAGCAGGAGATTCCATATCCATGGAAGCAAGTAAATTTAAGTGAGTGAGTCAAAGACTGTGATATGTTAGTGTTACTGATAGGACCTTTTCAAAATAGTTAACAGAAGGTTATTTCCTCTTGCCAAATACGACTGGGATGTAGGTGTCAGAATGCATTTAAACTTCAGATTTCAAACTTCTTTCTTATCTGACAGAATCTAAGGTCAAAATTTCAGAGAGAAAAATTTCCTCATTTGCAATTTTTAGAATTCCCTATTCTGAAGAATAAAGCCCAATTTCCTTTTGAAAGTCTACTGATGATATCACAGCACTGGATGTTTTTGCTCTCAATATCTAGTATATAATGCGTTAATATATAGTATGTTAAATACATTAAATAGGAATACTTCCAGCTTTGAAGTAACTGCTTACATTTTCCCTTGGAGGTGCAGTTCTCTTGTTTGGAATGGTGTCTTCTTAATTTTTCTGAAGGCCACTAATGAAGCCTTCCTTGTACTCTGTTTCATGCCAGAGCGCAGCCAAGTTCCCTGTATCACAGTATGTGGACAGATCCCACAGCTATACCTCCTATGCATGGGCACTCAAGGAATTCCACAGAAGGAAGCAGTTCAGGAACAAGAACTGCCTCTGGTAAGGCAAAACACCTTTTAATTTCCTGAAGCTCAAGAGACTCTAACCTATCAAAAACATGCAGATGTTAGTTGCAGTTCAACAAGCATCCTTGTTTTATTTTACTAGTTGGTGTAGATGGTATGTAACAATGTCTGTTCCTTCCATTCCCTATGGAAGCAGGGTAGCACTGTGGGATATGAAATTCCCTGCAGGCCTGTGGTGGGCATGGCACCATCAGCATCAGGCTTGTCTTCACTGACAAGGTGCATTAGTTTAAGCTTTCCCTTCTGATGTGCGCTACGTGTATCCTTCTCTAGCAAACATGCATAGATATATTCACTGTAGAATGCAGGTTGTCTAATCTGCAAGAACAGAATAGTTTCCAGGCCAGTCAGCCCATAATTGCTTGCTTTTCTGCTTCATGTGAATATGTTTATCTCGTGCCACCTTCAGCCTTTTTAGAGCTAGAAAGGTCAATGGAAAGGTCATGGTGAAGCTGACTTTTTTTTTTTTTTTTTTTTTTTTTTTTTTTGCAGGCTTTGGGGGCACAAAGCGAAGATGAAATCCTTGACATTATTACGTCAGAGTTATTGAACTAAATCTTGTGTACTTGTACTTCTTTTAGCAGTAGTATACTTCAGAAGTGGATATGTGGTATGAAGGACTAGGCAAAGAATTCCTCACTTTCTTTGTGGACTCTCACTTCTATTTAGGGTATCACAGGTGCTGGAACATCCACTATTTTCAAATCAGCAGCATGTTCTACAGAAAATGCTCATCCAAGTTAAGAAGAATTATGTTACAGTGACCATGTATCTGTACTTGAGGCATTATGGCAATGATAGCCTTACCAGATTTTCAAAGCATGTATCTTACCACTCATGTTCTGGGCTTAATTTTGTTTGATCCAGAATTTATGATAATATTTTTACTCTTTCCTGGTAGTCCAGCATATACCTGATACATATGGAGTGCTTTTCTTTGAGGCTACTTTTGTTTGCCTTTGTAGAATTCATGTGAACTTTACTGTAAGTGCAGTCAGCTACTCAGATAAGTATCAGAGTTCTTCCTCAGTGGAAAAGAGCAAAACTGTATATAAAGAGATTAACATTAGTATGTTTGTATCTGTGCTGTGTGACTGTTGGAGCAAAAATGTGCAGATTCCTGGATTCTCCAAGTTACAGAGTTTATCAAAGGTGACTGTGACAACCTGGAGGACTGTGTCTGTAAGTTATTGGGGGTAAATAAGTAACCTGGAAATTTGGACCTTTTTCTAGAACACTCAGGTAATTAAATTCAGGTTTGCCTGCATTGAGACCACAGATTTTCCATTTAATGGTGGATTTTGATGGTTGGCAATGCTGTGAAAACCTGTGATGTGAGAGTGGTCTGTCCAGAGCATAGTAAACCAAAAATGCTCATTGCAAAAGGGAAGGGAATGTTCTTAATGCAGAGATGATAGAATCTCTGGGACACAGCAGTCTTTGATACTAAGCAAAGAAAGGAAATTAAATATCTAAAGGGATGTAAATTCCACTTCCCCAAATGTGCTTTTTAAAAACAAAGTGCTGTTGAAGAGTGGGAAGCAGAGGGGCCTTGCTTTGTTCCGTGGTTATATTTTGGGGCCTCTGTGAAGTGTCATCCAGTTCTTGGGTGACTTATTATCTCCTGGAAGAGGCATTGCTGAATAAAAATTGCAGAGAAATTTCTCAGGATTATGAGGAGAGGGGAAGAGTGAAAAATGGGCTGCTTGATCACCAACTCTTCTCAAGAGCCTATCCTAACAGAGTGTAGAAGTGTTTGTGTGAGCACAGCTTGTGTATGCTGGCAGCATGCAGAGAAGCGTTGTCTTTCAGCCTTATGAAAATACTGTGTCTGGGAATTGGTTTCAGCTATTACAACGAAAGCAAAGCATTGATACAGGTTGCATCTCCACAAGATTAAGTTGGTCTAGTTAGTCTAAGAAAGTTACTTCAGCATAACTCAGGGAAAAGCAACCATGTCCATTCATGAATGCAGAAGGAATTAGCTCATATGGTAACACCCAAGTTCAGTGTATGGCTTAAGCAACCAAAAGAGAGCAAACCAAACCAGCAAATCCCAGAAGTCTATGAAGTCAACAGCCAGAAAAAATGCTTCGTGAAAAAGTGCTTGTACTGAAAGTGTTATTTTGAAAGTATCAAATGAAATTGATAACTTGAGGGTGGAATGGTAGTTTGTTTCTCAGAGCTACCTGAGAGTTGGAGGAAAATAACTGCATTAATAGCCTGCACTGTGAACCTAAAAAGGGAAATGGCAAAGACCTTACCAATGGCCTCCTAGAAAGCTCTACCTTTAATGAGAAGAAGTCCATGGTAAATCTCCTATCTTTATGACAAAGTGCAGCAAAAGAATATATTTTGAATATGTAGTTCTTACTTATTTCTAAGTGTATTCAGGTTAAGCTTGTCACAGTCAATATTTGCTTTGCCAACTAATTGCATAACAATGAAACTGGATTTTTTCTAAGTGGGTAGTTTGAAGCCAAAGTTTGCTCTTAAATTACAGTACCCTATGAAATGTTTTAGACAATGTTTTCATTTGTATTTATAGTTTCTGCATGAAATGTGATTTGATAAATAAATCTGCTACATAAATCTACCATAGCTCCTGAATCTGTTTGGATATGCTTGTCCTTCCCTCTGATAAAGGAATGAAGTAAGTGAATAAGCAGTATTTTTGTCTTTAAATCATTATCTTGAGACCTACAGGGATGGCATTGTCTGTTTTCTCAGAGTTCTCCGTCTTATCATCCACTTTCGGGGTAAATAATATCATCCTTTACACCCAGATGCAGAGTGGGTAAGTTGTATGTTGTTTCATTAAAATAATACTGGGAATAGAGTTACTGTATTGATTAAGTTTTCAGTAGCAAAATACTGAATCCTATAAGGAAGGCTTTCTTGTAAATCACAGTTAGGGATCTGAGTCTGCAGAAGAGCCCTGTTATGTCATCAAGTTCCTGGTTTCACAAGGTGGTGAGCTGAACCCTTCAAATGAATTTTTTATCACTGCTGCTGTTTCTGGTTATGGACAGAGCAGAACTCTACACAGGCATAGCCTAAGGTGATGCATTGGCTTTTTACATGGAGGATGTGTCACTGCTGAACAGATACCTGGTCTGCACAGAGAGTTCAACGTCTTGGCAGTTGTAAACTGGGGTTAAATGGAGGCCTGCAAATTCTGCTATTGGTGTTTCCTTCATCAAATATTGCTGATGCTCCCGAGTGAAAAGAACTTGTGGAAGGCAGTCTTGTGCTCATATTTGTGAGAGACCTTGAGCTTCCTTCCTGAACATCAGATCTGGAAGATCCTAGTCTCCCTTCTGCTCCTGGTTTTGGCAGCATCTTCACAGCAGCTTCATAGTTACAAGGCATAAATGCTTAGACTGTTAAATGCTGTTGTAGATAGTTGACCTGGGACCAGAACTGCTTGTACTTTGACTAGGCTTACATCCTCACACAAATGAAACTCCTGGTTTTACAGCTGACTTCCCATGAAGCATGGGATGAAAGAAAAAAAAAAGATGAACAGAGATAAGCTTTCTCTGTGCTGCTCTACTCTTGTGATTCAGCTGCCGCGTCAGATCTTGGCTAGTTCTGCAGACTCTCATGCTGTGCACCTTGCTCTTTTCCCTGAGTGCCGTGTGTGTGTTTGACTTAGCATGAAGGCAAGAAGATAGGTAGTTTGCTTTAAAAATAAAATTCTTGCATGGTCCTCACTTTACATCACTAAGTTCCAAAAAGGGAATTAAGCCAGGTGGTACAATTTCCAGCACAGAGTAATTACTGAAGTATAGTGGCAAGCAATACATACCTGCCTGCACAGCTATCTAAAAGCTGAAAATGCAGCATTTGCACATAGACTTAGCATCAATAAAAAGTGCTGTATTTTTTCTTCCTTACTAAAGCAGATTTGTATTCTTAGTATTTTCAGAATCCCCATCAACCAGTGATTGTGGTATAGAAATAGCCCAACTGCCTGTGAACAAAGGTATACAAGCAAACCCACAAAAATATTAAAATCTCACAGCAATGCAATCTGTACAACAGCAGACAATGTTGTTGTGTCTATTGAAACAATGTCTGGTCCCTCATTGTCCTGTACTTACTGGAGTTGAGTGCTGTGTGGGAGAGGCTCCTTATCACTCAGCATATTTTGCTAGAGCCTTCCTCTGCAGCCAGTTCTTTCACTTTCCTAATACTGTGTTGTGTTGGTTTGAAAGTAAAACCAGGGCGAGACTCCAAGTCAGTAATACAATTTAATAGGAGAAAAGAGAAAAAATAAAATACATGCAATAATATAAAAGAAAAAACACCGACAAAGTCAGAAATACAACCTGACACCCTGTCAGTCAGGGTGTTGGTAGCAGTCCGTATAAATGGTGGCTGCAGTCCTCCTGGATGACGGATGTGGTTCTGTTGAAGCAGTGCTCCTGTAGAAGGTGCAGTTTTCCTCCGAAGATCCAGTGATGATGTGGAAAAGGTCCGACTTTCCTCTGGGATCCAGTAGAAAGGTCTGCCCTCGGGTCCCAAACCCCAGTTTTTTATCTAGGTAGGAAAGGCTTGGCTCCTGCCCCTGGCTGGGGCATCTCCCAATGGGGTGATGTAATCTTATCAGTCACACAATAGGACTTAATGGCCCATTAACAGAATATATCTTCTGGAGGAAGGATGGGTTGTGAAAAGATAAGGATGATCATCCCCCGATCTTATCAGATGGCACATCAGCAGAAGATATCTCCCACAGAGATAAGGGTCACCACCCCTCCCACATTTTAACAGATGGTGATAGAATACACATTTTTGCATTGTACCCCAGGACATGTGTGTAGCTGCAGTAGTCTTCACTTTCTGACACCTCTTTTTCTGTTGCAGCTGTGATTTTCAAATGCTAATGAAAATAATCAGCAGATTCCCTTTATGTGGCCTGTATATCTTCTGCTGTCTTCCATCTTGTTCCCTCTGTTCAGGCTGGGAGTCAATGTTTCTTTAGCAAGAAAAGAACAAGCAGTTGTAAAAAGTGCATTGAGCTGGGAATGGATGGAGTGGATAGCAATGAAGTCAAGGGAGCCAACTGTCAGGCTGTGAATTGACCTTTGTGGGCAGTATGTGGAAAGACTTTTTTTAGCTTTCTGGCAGAGAAACATTTTTGTCAAAGGTACAGTATAGCAGCTGGGGATTGGAGCAGATTAAGGGTTGGTGAACTGACAGCAAGGAGAAGACGTGAAAACATTCTCTCCATCCTAACATAGGAATGACTAAGACTTGTAGCACCAGGAAGCTGGCCTAGGATGTGCTAGCTCAGCCAGTCCACAGTCATGCCACTGTAGATCCTGTAGGTAGATGTATATTGAAAGATACTAGGTGCTTCTGAAAATGCCAAGCAGAAGAAAGGTGACTTGACCCTGCCTCCATATTTCTTTCCTTCTGCAGTGTGACTTTTGAATGAACAGAGAAGGCCAAACATGGAAAGAGCAGCAAGCAACTATGACAAAGGATAGCAAGTAGGCCAAAGCGAAGCTTGCAGGTGAAATCTGTGTCCTAGTATGTCCTGCCTGCTCACTCTTCTCACACAACAGCAGGAAATAGTAGGCAGTTCTAATAGCTGTTGTGTCAGGATTATTTTACTGGGTTTTCCTACATCTCTAAAGTCCTACAGACAATTACAAGTAACATGGATTGACACCTTTTGCTCTGAGGGCCATCTGAGCCATTCCATAATTTCGACTTCAAAGTACCCACTGTGAAATTTGAAGGAGACAAATCACTGCCTGCTTAGAGACCAGAGTCTCTGAAGTACTGCATAGGGAACTTTTCCTCATTTCCTGCATTTGCCTTGACTTCCCTGGCATCAAGACAGTCTTTGCTGTGGAACTTTATTTAGATGTCATTGTGCAGGATCCTCTGAGACTTGGCCTTGAGACCACAGCCCAGATATAATTGTTCCTGTAAGCCTTCTTTATGCCTCCTGTGTCCTTGCAATCATCATGTGGGGATGTCTTTATTGAGGCAGCAGTGGAATTAGCAGCAATCCAGAATACCTTTTGCTACTGCCGTTGCCTAATGGGAGTTAATCAATCTCTCAGTCAGCTCCCGTGGTCATTTTCATGTTCTTTGGCAGCTGTAAACATATCACATCTGCTTTAAGAGACAAACAGTTATGGTTGGGGGGGAAAAATGCAATGAATATAGATAAAATGTTGAGTTGGAACAATTTTGCAGAGCTAACCTTCATCGTGGGGTTACTTTATCAACATTCTTCTCCAGGAGTTGGATGAGTACTTTATTAATGTGGATTTAAATAATGCCATCAGTGTCTTCTGCACTGTAAGAGTGAAAGACTTAGAACTGTAATAGGTTTGGTGTTGAACAAAGACCTGTTTGGGGCTCTTTGTAGTTTGATGCATAGCTTGAAAAGAACTGGTAGCAGTAAGAAGTGAGATTAGTGAGGTCAGAAATTCATGTGGCTTCAGCATAGACAGAAACAAACTGATCTGTGCTGTTTCTGAAACCAAGGTAAAAACAAGCTCAAATCAGTCTGAAGCAGCTCAGAAGGTTGTTCCTGTCTTTGCTTTGAGCTGAGATCCTGCTTGGCACAAATTGTCATCTGCTGCTGACAACTACTGTCAACACTAAAGTTCTCTTTCCCTTAGGTAGGCAAACCCTCTGTTCTTATTCTGACTATTAGAAAATCAGCCAGGTTCCCTAGGTCATAGTGCAGTGTGATTCTGAATTGGCAGGCTTGGAAGGATTTATTTCCTTTTTAACAAGAAGCTGGGGATTAGGCTATAACTAAGTGAATGTGTATAGAGCTGAAACAGTGCAAACGTAAGTGATGAGAGAAACACCATACTTGACTGGGGTAATCCAGTTATACCTGAGATACTAATGCATTCCCTTTCGCCCAGCTGATGCAGCTGCTAAAGAGAAGTTAGCAGCTACTGGCAGATACTTTAAATTGCAAAGCTGCTTTGGACATAACTGAGAAACAGAACTTTCTGCAGCTGCTGAGAGAGAAACACAGTGTGAACCATTCTCTAAGAGCATTCAGCCTGAGAAGAGGAGGGGAGAACAGGAAGTCCCACACAGAAACCAGTGAGTGTTTCTAGCCTGAACCTGCTACCGAGGTATCTGTTCCTCTCCAGTCTTTGTTTGCTTAAGCACCTGAGAGGCCACATGGAGCCATAAGTGCTACTGCTTAGCCTCAGCTTGGCGTACTTCCAAGCTAAGAGGCTGTGGTTGAAGGAATTGTATTTGATAACCTTTGGACAGCATGTCAGGAGAGGCCCAGGAAGACAGCTGAGCTACAGGAATGTGCCATGCCCTGGAATGACAAATAAATTAAGGATATGGAACAGTCAGCAGCAGAGATCTTTAAAAAGAGATGTAGAATGCTCTGGTGGAGCCAGTCAGCACACTGGAGGATGTTCTTGTATGTGGTGGCTGCAGCAGGCTGGAGCAACTGCATCCCATGGTCTGCATGTGGCTTATGAGGACTGTATTGGTTCAGCTGCTGGAGCAGTGCTGGCCATTCTCTTGCTCTCCCTCCAAATGCACGGCCTAACTATGCATTTTCACAGTCTTGCCAGCTCAAAGATCACGTGCATCTTGAAACACAGGCAATCTGGTTTATGAAACTTTGTACCATAGCATATTCTAAAGGCCAAAACTAAAGATTTTGAAGGAAAGGATTGGGTGACTTTATGCCAAAACAATACATCAGCTACTGAGCCATTACATGACTTATTGCTGAAAAATCCCTAGAACTTGAATTCCAGAAGCAGAAAGTGTTAATTACCTCCATCAGATTCAGAGTACCGGAATAGACAGCGTTTTTCTGAGGCAGTATGACAACTCTTACATTATTATCTATGAGGAAAAGGATCTACTTATCCTAGGCACAGCCTCTTAGGGCAGAAAGGTAATGCCAACTGAAAAAACTCTTTGCCAAGACTGGAAGAAGAAAAGAATGGATCATACTGGGCAGCATTTCACCCCCAGTAAGACACAATCCCCTTCCTGCAGGTCCCCCAGATGAAAGACTGGGGGCAAGGATCAGTCTGCAAGGATGGATAGGAAGTGTGTTTTCTGGTTCCTTTCTGACCTTGTGGGCAGAGATTTATTAGGTTAAGATGAGCTGCAGATACTTGAAGGAAAAGAGTGCCATTAATAATGGGGATTTGAGACCTGTGCGTCAAAGGTGAAGGGCAGCTGTTAATAACAGCTCTTGTTTTGTTTGTTCAGTTTTTCTTCTAGCTTCCATTGAGAAAAAAATGGAGACAATAGAAAAGTCATTTTCTTTGTGTAGATCACTGCATTTGCCATATTTAAAGGAAAAGTTAGGCCTTGCTTAAACCTGAGCTTTAGCCAGTGTTGTACTGAGTGATGTGACTGCACCAGTGAAACCTCTTGAAACTGTGCTGCAATCCCATTACTTACAGAGAGGCATGAAACACCCTTTAGTGCTTTCTGAGATAATAAGTAGGTGTCCTGCATAGTGCAGCTTTCCTAGC